TCCAATAATAAAAAAATAAATGCAACATATTTACATTAGGAAAACATCAACTCACCGGATACAATGTCAGCAACTAGCTGGAATTTTTTCATATAATAATCAACTGCTTCAGTATCATTTTCTTCTCTAGTCCAATAAGAAATAGTGTGTATAATGCCTTTCTGTGCTTTCTTAAGTTTTTCTACTCTGCCAATATACAAGAATATACATTTCGGAATCATACCATTCATGGCAAAAATTTCTCCCAACAATTCTTTCACACATAACATCATTTAAATCATCAATTTGCTTAGTAGATAAGTTTTTAAATAAATTCAGAATTTCACTAATAGTTAATAATGTTAATTGTTGCTCTAACTTTCTTTTTTCTTTTTCATCGATTTTTTGGCGTTTTATAGTCTGTCTTTTAGAAATCTCAGCTCTAATTTCAGAATGTTGTAGTCAAGTTTTTATTTGTTTTCTACGTGCTGCCTGCATAGACCACTGAACTAGCATTTTACCATGAAAAACTTACTTGAGGAACTTGATGAAGGTTTCACTAAAGAATAACAATTATTATAAACCTATTTATAAAAAAAATTAGTAATAATACAATTTTCAAGTTTTTGCTTCATATACACAAACTATATATTCAAAATTGGTCTTATACATAAATTGCATATTAAATTTTTAAAATCCAAAAACAAAATTTACTTACAAGCGTTAACTAAATTGTCTAAAAAATAAATAAGTAACTAATAGTAAATAAATCTGAGATTGAAAAACAATAATTTATTTTTAACAAAGTATTAGACGATACAATAAAAATATATACTTATTGCATACTTATTGTATTCTCCATAGTGTCTAAAAAAACAAAAATAACCAATTGCGAACAAATAACTTAAAAAAAAAGTTTTAACTATAATAATGGTTTTTATTTTTATTTTTGTTAGTTCATTCCAATTATATTTTATTTTCATTGTGATTTACATTGTTAGAATTTTATATTATTATAAGATTATATAAAAACATAATAAATAAAATAACAAAACAGTTTCAATATAAATAGAATTAAGAATAAAATAGATTCAATAAATGAGAATTACTAACTAAATAATTAAATAAATAATAACTAAATAACAAAATAGAATTACTAACTTAATTTTTCATATAAGCTTTTAATAGCTTGTGCATCTAAACAATCATAACAAAGGAACTATTTCAAACAATTTATATCAGTTTTATTTAAACAAAAGTTATATATATATATATATATATATATATATATATATATATATATATATATATATATATATATATATATATATATATATATATATATATATATATATATATATATATATATATATATATATATATATATATATATATATATATATATATATATATATATATATATATATATATATATATATATATATATATATATATATATATATATATATATATATATATATATATATATATATATATATATATATATATATATATATATATATATATATATATATATATATATATATATATATATATATATATATATATATATATACACACATATATATATATATATAAATATAGGTACCCTCATATGCGTCCGTTTTTTTATTTTGACATCGCTTTTATAAAGTTTCTGGATTTCCGTGTTTTTCCAATCTACGCTATATGCATAAAGGAAAGAGTGTTTAAAAAGCTAGCTAAATAATAAACTGTAAATTTTTATTATATTTTTTCGTTTAAAGTGAAGGTTAAACTTGTTTATAGTTATACAATTTTTAAAAAATTGCGATTTTTTCACTGTTAAGGAATCCTGCCAAAATAGGTAATTTTCATATAAAGAATTTAATATACCAATACAAATGCTCATAAATGATTTTGACATGCTCAAATAAATTCTTCATAGATCTTTCATTTGATATATAATAACCGATACTTTAAAATCTCCTTCATGTTTAAAAAAGATGCATACAGTTGCTACCGCAAAATAATGTATTGTTTATTGCGCCATTTTTTAAAATTATTTTCATTGTTGCTTTGTATTTTTCTTTACTTTAGATGGACCACAAGACTGCATAAAGATATTTACCTTTGTTAAATGGTGACATTATAATGTCACCATTTAACAAAGGCTTCAATTAGCATTTATATGAATTAATTAAAACGCAAATATCTTTTGCAGTCTTGTGGTCCATCTAAAGTAAAGAAAAATACAAAGCAACAATGAAAATAATTTTAAAAAATGGCGCAATAAACAATACATTATTTTGCGGTAGCAACTGTATTGGAAATTTACTGTGGAACTGTGGAAATTTACCGAAGGAACCGTTTTTCGGTAGTTCCAGTCTCTAATATTAGAGACTGGAATTACCGAAAAATGGTTCCTTCGGTAAATTTCGGTTCCTAATTTGAAAAGAAACTGATAACTTCGGTTCTTTTCGATTCCTTATTTTAGGCAAGAATCGTTATTACGGTAAATTTCGATTCCTTATTTTAAGAAAGAATCGTTATTACGGTAAATTTCGATTCCGATTCTCATAAGAACCGATAACTTCGGTTCTTTTCGATTCCTAATTTTAGGCAATAATCGAAATTACCGTAAAATTTGGTTCCAATTTCGGTTCTTAGCGGAAAATATCGCAAAAAATCGAAAATGCTACAAAGAATCGAAACTGTTACTAAGAATTGAAAAACTTGAATTTTTTTAATTTTTATTTTCAAAAATACAGTTGAAATACAGTTGAAAAATACAGTTATTCTAAATCACTATCAGTGAGATCAGTGACTCTGTCCTTGCTGCCATTGCGACTACTACTAGCACTGCTATAAGCTACGCTAGTAGAACTATCACTAGCTTCAGTATTAAATAAATCTTTAGATGCATCATATATAGGGTTTTTTTTCATTGGTGATTTTTTCATTGGTGATTCAAGTACAAGTTTCCTTTTTTTAGCTCTTTGTAGTAGACTTTGAGACTGTGATTCATTTGGTTTCAAAAAACTTTTCATTTTTTTCTGTTTAGTTGATTGGGTTAGTGTAGATGGAGATGGTTGAGGTTGAGTCTGAGAAGGTGATGGTAGAGGTTGAGTCTGTGAAGTTGATGATAGAGGTTGATCTTGAGAGGTGGATGGTAGAGGTTGATCTTGAGAGGTGGATGGTAGAGGTTGAGACTGATAGCCTGATTCACCAGGGCATTTTTTGTCCCAGGACCTTATTTTTGATTTGACTAGGGGAAAGTTTTCTTTTATGAACATTATTTTTTGAAGGGTCTCTGGCTTCATAATGTGTCTTTTATTACTAATAATATTTCCTCCTAATGAAAATAGCCTTTCTGAAGAGCATGAAGTCACTGGTGGACACAAGTACTTCCTTGCCATAGCAGCTAGTAATGGCAGTTCCTTTTGATTGACCTTCCACCATTCCAAAACCTTCACATCCTTAGCTGGCTTTTGCATAGACAAGTATCTCTTAAATTCCATCTAAAAAAAATTTGAATTTGAATTTACCGCAAAGAATCTAAAATGTGTATAAGAATCGAAAATGTGTATAGGAATCGATATTTATAAGTATCGGAAATATTTATAAGAATCGAAATTATTATTAATAAAAATGAATATCTACCTTCAAAGGAGGCTCTGATGGTCCTGCCAAAGTTGGTGCATCATTTCCATCATTTTCCATAGCCATTCTCTCAAAATTATCCATATCTTCATCTAAGTTTGGCATTGCAGAAGGTAATGAAGCCTCATAAGCCTCATTGTATTCTCTGTTAGTTGGATGATTATCTACCAGTTGGTCTATTATTCCATCTAAATGATCTTTGTTGCCCTTGATTAATGTGATAGAATAACCTCTATAAAATGGATCAAACACACTTGCAAGATTAAAGTCATTAACTTCAGTGCCTTTATCTGGAATCCTAGTTTCCAAGTATTCTATAAACCTGGTCATTGCATCTTTAGCAATTCTTGAACCTGGAAAAGAGAAAAATGAATAAATAATCAAAATTGCATAATTTGTTGATAATCATTGAAATTATTAGTAAGAATTGAAAGAATCACAAAAAAATATTTTTTACCTGAAGTATTTTGTGTAACTGTCCTATGGCACATAGTAATCAATGAAAAGAGGTGTTGCTGGATCTTGTGAACTGTGTTTTATCTGAGGACCAAATCTCTGAGTATTCTTGACATTTTGCCAAAAAAAAGGATGAAGTTCTGCAATTACTTGAAAATCTTCATCACTTGGTATAAGTATTGTCAAGTTTGCATTCAGGCTGTTATCTCTGACAGACTTCAAACCTTGCTCATTTCTTAACACTGACTTGAACAGCATTGCATTTGAATTCCATCTTGTTTGCACTGGTTGGATTAGCTTGATTGGATTACACCCTAGAGATTCACATTCTTGTTTGATTTCATACCAATCCTTAGTGCTTTGATGTGTCCTTTGAGCAAGTCTCTTGCACTTATCAACAATTACCTTAACCTCACCATTTCCTAATGTGTCTTTCAAACAATTGTTCAACATGTGATCAACACACACCAATTGCTTGTCCAATAAAGTTGCTAAACTGACACCTGCCTTCATGTTAGCTGCGCCATCAGTCACACATGTTCTTTCTAGGTCAGGCCTTGCCAAGACTTCATATTTTGAAATCTACATGCACGTGTTAGGTGACAGGTCAAATCAAAAACTTTAAACCTCAATAACTTTGTTAATATTGAGTTTAGAGCAAAAAGGACATTAATTTGGAATCATTAAATTGTTGTCTAGTGTGGAAATTTAACTTTTTATTAATTTACAGAGTTATTAAACTTTAAAGAATATTATAAATTTGGAAAAGAGCACAAAAGTTTCTAATTTAATATAAAAATAGATTTCTAACATTAGTTTCATCAAAATCAAGCCCGAATTGGTAAATTGAGAAAAAAAATATTTTCTGCATGGCCCAAACGACGCCTAAAAGATCCGAGTTTTTTTTGAAGAAATATTTTTTCTCAATTTACCAATTTGGGCTTGATTTTGATACGAATATTTACAAATAAAAACGGTAAAATGTTATAAAAACGATTATTTAAGCTACTAAAAAATTTCAATATTTTTCTCACCTTAACATACTCATCCAGAGTTACTTGAAGTTTTTCATGATCACCTTGCTGACTGGATGGTGGAGACTTTTTACTAAGGTTATCCAGCCTTTTTTTACTAGTGGTTGTGGCTGGAAAGAAACCTCTCAAACTTGAAGATATATCAAGCTCCTTTTCAACTTCCTCCCTGTCAGCAGCCAGTTGCACTACCTTGTCATTCTTTGCCTTAATATAAGCTTTGGCTTGAATGGGATGCTGAGATCTGTATAAAAAAAAATTTAAATTAAATAATTATAGGGATAGGAATCGAAATTACCGAAACAATTGAAAATATTGAAAATAATCGAAAAAATTGAAATAACTCCTATAGATGGCGCTATATTAAATTAAATGTAACAAACAGTATTACTGTTAGCTGTTACTGTATAATAAATAATAATCAGTGCTTATGTTTATTTAATTTTTCAGAACTATTGTTATTTTTTTATTTTTTTATAAAGTAAATCTTTACTTAATATTAACTTAAATTGCAAAAATTCTGAAAATATTGAAAAGAATCGAAATTACCGAAAAAATTGAAAAAACATTACTTACCTTAAATGTTTACTCATTCCTGATGTACTTCCATGGCAGCAAGTTAACACTGCTTGACATTGATTACAACTTGATTTATAAGTTTTCTTTTTGGTGTCAGAATTCACTGTCACTTCTGGTAGTTTGGTAAAGTAATTCCAAATTGCATTATTAACTTGAGACATTATTGTAAATTGTTGTAAAGAGTTGTTTGTGAAAAAATAAATTGTAACTGATTAGATTTTCACAAAACCCCACTCTCTATACTGGTAAAGGGGAATCCCTTAGGGGAGAGAAATTAAATTTGAATGAATTTGAATTTAATTTCGCACGCCATTATTAAAACGTATTTGTAATAAAAACGATTCTTTACAATAAAAACGATTTTTTAATTAATAATTGAAAATACCGTTTTTATTACAAAGAATCGAAATTACCGAAAATATTGAAAAGAATCGAAAATATTGATTATAACGGAAGTATATTATTAAAAAAAAGGTTAGTAATCAATTTACGGTTCTTTTCGATTCCTATTCTGATAAAGAACCGATAACTTAGATTCTTTTCGATTCATATTTTGATAAGGAACCGAAAACTTCGGTTCTTTTCGATTCCTTTTTTATAAGGAACCGATAACTTCGGCTCTTTTCGATTCCTATTCTGATAAGGAACTGAAACCTCCGATTCCTTTCGATTCCCCGAAAAATACCGAAGAACCGATGAACCGAAGAACCGTTTTTTGGGAACTTTAGTCCTTATTTGATGCAACCACCGTTTTAGACAAACATGTAAATGAGTTCCTTATCAGTACCTATTCTCCGTAGAGATGTTATTCCTTATCAACCGCTAAACTTGCTGGAGGCACAGGATTTGAATGTGCCACTCATATTGTCAGTGTAATAAAAGAACTTGCCAATACATTTGCAGAGTTTAAAAATATGCCAGCAGTAGAAGTTTTAGATGTTTTCACTCAAAAAATCAAAAGTTGTCTGTCAGACAGAGCACCTGTTAATGGTTGTGTGAAAAACATGCTTCAGGAGGAGATGGATATTCAATTAATGCAACTGTACTGCAATGTTCATCCATTGGAAACTATTGCCTTAAAAGCATTATTAGCTCTTAAAACAATAGATAATGAGTTGAATATAAAACCAGCTAAAGGAACTGATGGGGTTGCAGTAACAGTCCTCAAAAATATTTCTAAGCTAAGGTAATCTTTTATATGTATATCTTTCATTATTTAAATTTTTTTTGTGAGCAATTATTTCTTTATTATTTACACGTTTTGAAAATTTGAAATTTTAATTTTTTTGCTCTTTAAAAATCAGGTATAGTTTTAAAGGCGATCCTGCAGCATTCAAAAGCTATCTTAAAAAAAACAATGTTGCTCCAGGGCTATTCCTTAGATATGTTAGTATGTTATACTAAGATATGTTACATGGTAGTAGATTTCATGTTTTGTTCCATATGGCAGGGATTGTTGTTACATACGAAAGACTTATAAAAACCTTTCTTGAAAAGTAAGTTTTTTTTAGATGAATATTTGTTTTAATAGAATTCTATGTATTAACATTTTCTCGTTATTCTAGCAACACCAAAAATAAAATTTGCCAACTCTTACTTCAAGATATGAGTAATGGTATAACGCTTGTGCAACTGCAAGGGTTGGGCCTGATAGGAAAAATAATAGCTGGGCCATGGATGAGTCTGGTTTATAAAAATGCAACAGGAAAGAGTAATCTTGAGTTTGTAAGTTTTTAAGGTTTTCTTATAAACAAATAAAGTAGTTTAAAAAATGTAAAAATTATTTTTTTATTAGGGTGACATTTTCCAGAAAGCAATAAGGAAATTAGCTTACTTCAAAAGTAATCCAGAATCAATTCTTTATACAGATGTGGATATTTTTAGTCAAGTATTAAATATCAAAAAAGATAAAGTACACCAATCCCTTCGTGTAATAAAAAATAAAAATATTTTGGTAAAGATTTTATCAGCTTTGATAAGCTACACAGAGACAGTTCTCAAAAGACAGATGGCCAGGTATTTGACTGGCAATCTCTCAAATCCATCTAAAGAAATGATAAAAACCACACTATCTGCTCCACCTCATACAATGGAGGCGGAAAGGATCTTGGGCATGCTTGATTTTTTTTTTGCGTCGTGCTCCTAATGCTACTTTTGGTTTTCTGGATTCTAAAATAAAAGCCAGGGTAAACAAAATATTAACATGGCTTGATGAGAAAACATTGCCAGAACAAGTAGATCTTATTCAATTTGTAATTCGCAGAGGAGCTTTAACGTGTCAAGCCTCTAAAAATTTTAATAATCTTTTGTATGAAGAAATAGGAAAAAGATGCGCCAAAAAAAGAGCGCTAAAAAAAGAGCGTCTGGAAAAAAAGCAACTAGAGAAGGATATTAAAGGAGCAATAGCTGAAAATGCCAAAACCACAAATCCTCTTTTTGTTAATATTGATGAAAAACAAAAAAGAATTTTAAGAGTAGTTTTTAAAAATGGAAACTTGATAGGGCAGCTCTTAAGCCATCAATGGGAGCTAGATGATGGTAATATACATTTATTTTTTGGTAGAATTGTTGATCAAAAGGTAGCAACAAAAAAAAAATCTATTACATACACAATAGGATATTGGAAAGTCAATGAAGATGAAGCTGAAGATATTATCATAAGCCAGGAAGGAGTTATAGCAGATCTAATACTTAAAGACTTGGAGTTCATTTAAAAATTACTATAATATATTAGGCATTATTATCTTTTATTTTGTTTATGTTGATTATTTTGTATACATTTTTATTTATTCCTTTTAGTTTTTAAATATTTTTATATTAACCAAGAGCAGACACAGGGTTATTTTACATTTCAGATACTGTACTTGGCATTGTGAAAACTCTAAGTATAAGTATGTTCAATCATATGTCAAATAAGAATGATTTGCTAAAAAATTGTGGTAATTAAAATTTAGGAACAAAACTATCTAAAAAAGATAGAACCCCCCTGTCTCAAATGTTAATTTAATGAGTAAATAAGTTTTTAAGTTTATTACCCAAAACTAAATTTAAATTCACATTTTTTAATGCTCAAAGGTTATGACCATGTGAAATAACTTAAAAAAATAACTTTAAACATATAAAGAATTATTGGGTCTGTTGATGGATTTAAATGTAGTATAAAATAATAAGTAAAAGTATTTTAATAACTTGGTCTCCTCACATTTTTATGTGGGGTACAAACTTTTTGGGGTATTTTTGTTCCCAGGCTCCAATCACTTCAATTTTTTATACAATTTTTTTTCACATTCTCATTAGATTTAAGCATGAACAAACTTAAATTTAGATTAGTGATGGTAATTTTTTTAATAAAATGACTAGAATCGAATTTGACCCCCTTTTAAAAAATGGGCTTAAACCCCCCCCCTCTCTCTTTTTTTTTTTTTTTAAATTTAATTTATATAAGTGGGATATAATAAACAGTTTTTATCATATATGTAACAGTAAATTGTTAATATTTTATGAACTATGTTATAAAGTCCACTTTTTGAAGTCATCTTCTTAATATATGTGTATCTTTGTTAAGATGTCCACTTTATTTTTGTTTTATTTTGTTAACCACAAAGAATTTTAGTTTCCTCTGTTTTGGTTTTCAAATATTTGATTTACAATTTTTGCTTAATTTTAGAGGATTTTCTGAGATCATTTGTGATCCATGGAGAAATTTTATTTACAGTAGATTTTGGAAAATAATTCATATAATTCATAAAATTTTTTTTAAAATTCTTAAACTGGATTAGCATCAGAAGAGGCTTCAACTTATATCTAATGACATAATTGTTCTTTGAATGATTTAAATTCGCTTGAGTAAAAAAGCGTTTTTTAAACGTTACTTTCTGTGGAAATATTTTTACTGCAGCAATATTAATTGAGAAAAAAATAGGAAAGTGGTCAGAGATATCACTTTTAATTATACCTTTTTTGAGCAATTTATTAAAAATATCGGTTGTTATTATATTGTCTAATGAGGTAGCCGATGTTGCAGTTATTCTTGTTGGTTTAGAAATCATTGAAAATGCACCATGTTCTAATACAATTATTAAATAAATTATTTTATAATTAGTATGGTATTGAAAACAGTCCAAATTAATATCGTTGTGCATTTTTAGAAACAAACATTTTCAATTTTTTCGATTGTTTTAACGTGGCACACAACCAAAAAACGTAAGTTTTTTGAAAAAAATCAATTTTAGGATTTTGAAGTATTTTGATTCTATAATCATTCCTCCAATATATAATTAAAATATTAGTCTCAAAAATAATATAAAAGTTGATCTAACAGCATTTTAGTAGAGAACAATTTTGAAAAACTTCCCTAACAACGCCTAAGCAACCACCAAACATTTAAGTTTTTATGAATTCAAAACAGGAAAACACCATCACAAACTTGAATTTGTTATATGCAGACTCTTGTTAGTTTTCGGTTTTAAAATTTTCATACTTCAAAACTAAATTTAAGGACAGGAGTGATTTTTGACTGTTTGTGTTAGTCTCTTATGATGAAACTTTTTCCTCATTTTGTATGAAGTTATATTAAAATTGATTTTAATTCAGTTGAAATAAAATTGTTTTTAAATGAATAAACTAGGAAATACAAAAGAAATTTATCAAGAAGAATAAAACGAAAGTTGAACAGTGTTGTTGCATATAAAAATCACAAATAAAATAGTTCTAATAAAAGAAAAATTAAATTAAACTGTTCGAAAGCATTTGACCCAGAAAAAGATAATTTTTTTGTTTTTATTAACTTTTTAATTCTCAAAGAGCTGATAGCTGAAACTGCATACAGATGTTGATTCCAGTAGAAAAAGATTTGCAAATTTTAAAATGAGTTAAAATGAGAACTCTAAAACTCCGTTATCAGGCAGAGGTAAACTAACAGAAAAATGTATAAGTTCTATGCAAAACTATTATGGCTTGGCAATTCATCAAAATGCCTACAACAATGTATGCTATGAAAAAAACAGTTTATGCTCTTTTATTTCATTTCACCAATTTTGAAAACCTGCAAATGCAGGATCAGTTTTTTCCCAAGAGAATTAAAAAGTTGGTGCAAATATTGGGCTCTCAATCATAAAAATTACAACCCTAAATTGTGTATACCTATCTGGATTAAGAATCTTCTTTTACCGATCATCAAAGATCTTCAG